TCCCAACAAATCTGGATCAAGTTTGACCATTAAACTGTCTGATCTGTAACATAAATCCAATTATGTTTAAATGTTAAATTAATTTGTAATAGAATCTTGTAAATAAACCAAAGAGCCCTTGAAACAGCTTCAGATGATTCATTAGAAAATTGAGAGACATTCAAAATACCTTAAAGAAGTCATTAAAGTTGGTAAAAGCTGAGAGAAATAAAACATACAGCATTAGTATCTGTGACTGAATCTTAGTGAAGGGATGAAGATTCATTATCCAAGGTTAATAAAGCTTCACCCACTGCTCTATTTCAACAGAAAAAAAGATGAGAAAATCTTAACAAAGAAAAAAAATAAATTAACTTAAAACTCACCTTTACGGTTATCATTTTCCAGCAGAGCAGTAATTGAGCTTCTAGTCTAGTAGAATTCTATTTCAGATTTAGACTAAATATTGTCTTTTATATATAATATAAGTCTTTTGCCTCTTGTTCTGACAGTCAGCTGATGGATCGCATGAAAAAACCTGTATGAAACAACAAACTGCTCCATCAGCTGATAGATAGTTTTGACCAAAAATCTTGTTTGAATATTAGATTTTCCCATTCCCCCTTCCCTGCGGAGATGAATGCTTCTTCTGTTAAACACAAACTGGGAGGATCAGAGGGTTAGTACAACTTCCTCCTCTCTTTTTCTTTGCACTAAAACACACCTTATGCAAAATTGTTTGGCCATCCAGAGCTATTTTCCATATTCATGCTGCTATGTTTAGACTGCTGGAGAAAATAGGGCCAAAGTTCAGACTCTATCATTAAATTCTCTCTGCTTTATCTCATAGTAGCTTCATCTGGTCTGTTCCTGTTTGGCTGTGACTCCATCCTGGAGAGAAATATCAGCTGTGCTGCTGCCATCAACACCTTTGATTATACTTTGTTTTTATTTTGTTTCTAACACTGTGTTTTTATGCTTTTGTACGGTGACCTTGAGTGTCCAGAAAGGCGCCTTTTAAAATAAAATGTATTATTATTATTATTCTTAGCAAACTCTCTCTAGAAGTTCAGTGAGGATCTCTGGATGATGTAATATTGACCTAAATGATTGATGATGATGAATAGAATCCAACTGTGTGGAATCAAGTTTGTATAAATAAACCTGCTCTGTGATCAGTTCAGAGGTCTGTTTAAAGCGCAGAGAGCATCATGAAGAACAAGGAACGCAACAGGCAGGTCTGAGATACTATTGAGGAGAAGTTTAAAGCCGAATTTTGATACCAAAAGATTTACCAAGCTTTAAACATCCCAGGGAGCACTGAGCACGCTATAATATTGAAATGGAAGGAGTATCAGACCACTGGGAATCTACAAAGACTTGGCTGTGCCTCTAAAGCCCGGCGTACACTGTGCGATTTTCGGGGCAATTATTAGGTCATGCGAGAATCTTTCGATCGGCCCAGTTTTCAGCCTGATCGTGCATCGTGAGTCGTGTAGTATACAGGGGATAATGAGCTGCGATCAGCCTCTCACGACCACCTGCCGATCAGGAATCGTGAGGTCAAGAGAAAAAAAAACATGCTTGATTTTCTCACGACCGTCGTGGGAAAATCGCTCAGGGCACATACGCAAAGAAGGATTCTTCCTTTTATTCCTCCTCTCAGATGTAAACACAGCAGCATGGCACACCATACACACACATGAACATTGCATCTTCCCAACAGAAGCACTTTACTTCATCAAAGGACATAAATATGCTCAGATAAACATTTCAAATAACTGTTTCTCGTTCACCCCAAAAGGGCATACATTTTAACCATAGCATGAAGGAGGCCTTGTGAACTCATGATTTCTCATGACCTTCCCTTCACCCTTGTCTAGACTATGGAGGGGAGGCACCTGCTTTCTGTCCCCTTAAACAGCATAGTGAATGGTACAGGTTTTCTCTATCATTACTCCTATTCAAACAAACATTTTATCACACAAAATAGGCCAAGGAAAAAGTCTGATTCCACAGGGTTTTCTGTTAGAATTTTATGGTCTTGGGGCTCTGAAAATACTGCCCTTTAACAGGCTTCTGCACCCAATGCGCAGGTGCAGACAATTAGAGGGACGATGGCGAATGTAACGAGCGAGGTGCAGCTTCCACCAAATTCGGTGAGATCCTTATTTATCTACCCGTTT